CCGCCCCGGCCCGGCCCCGGCCCCGCGGCCCCCGCGCAGGTAAGGCGCGCCCGCAGCGGCGCCGCGGAGGAGCAGCCCCAGCCCCGCGCTCCGCCGCGAGAGGCTGGTGGGTCTGCGTGCGGCGTTGTGGAGAGGTGGATGGCGAGGAGAGGAGATGGTGGAGCGGAGGTGTAAGTTAAAGGTTGGATGCGGTGATTTATTGCCCCCTTGGCAAGGCGTGGGGGGAGGAGGGGAGAGGGGGGTCTGCGAGACTTGGGCGATAAAATCAATCTGCTGCATGTTCTCCCTGGCGTGAGCTGCCGTGGTGAATCGCGAAGCCGGGGCAGCGATGGGATATCGCAATATTGTTGTTATTTATCGGCGGCGGTCTGAAAGAGACGAGGGGCTTGTGCGGGAAGTGCATTGATAATTTGGGACATTTTCTATTGTGTGTCAGAAGAAAGAGGGCACTCGGCTTCTTCGATATGTGTTTGAAACTGTTTAGGTTCCTGCTGATGGTGTGCATTTTTGAAGGGGTAGAAATTATATCATAAGCATATTAAAATAAAGACATCTGCAGACTGGAAGGGGAGCAAAATCGATCATTCCAGCCGCTTTGGAAAGAATTTGATTCTAGAAATTACGTAGAAATGAAAGGAAAAGATTAATGATGCTGTTAAGTCTGCTTTTGAATTAGAGCGCTTCTCCCTTTGGCTGCAGCAAGGTTGTTTTTCAGATCCTTTTATTTCATCCGGTAATTTGTGAACTCTGGTCTTCCCCGCACCCAGAGACAATGCTCTGTATTTCATACAATAAGGATTCTGCCAAGGATTGTGCATGCCAACCGACCTGGCATTTATTAAGGATTTATTGACCTATGGGTGTCTCTCTCTCTCTCTTTTTCTAATTTGAAAAGGCTCAATCGGGGCACCTGTGACTAAATCATAATTTTTGAAGAATAAAAAATGGTTGTAAAGGGGTGGGGGAAGCATACGAATTCACTGGCGAGGCTCCGAATGCAATAGCTACATTTATATTGGTTTGTGCATATTTCTCGCTACATATGTGCGTGTTCATGGATACATTGCTGGGAGGGATGCCTGGTACTTAAGAGCCATTTGAGATAGATAGATACATAGATAGATCTATATTAATAAATTGTCCTCTTCCGAGAATGAAAGTGTCCCTCTGCTTTGGAAATGACTAGACAAGACTGTGCTGTTTATTGGCAATGTGTGAAATTCTACCACCAGTAATAAATAAGCAATTGTTTGCTGGGCTGTTTTTTCCTTGGGTCTTTCTCCTTTCGTTTACAGTCTTTCCACCTCTCTATCTTTTAGTATTTTTTTTTTTTTCTTTCTCTCTTTTTTTTTTTTTTATTATTTTTCCTTTCTCTTCGCCCTCTCGCCGCTGCTGCTGCTCTGTGTGTGTGTGTGTGTGTGTGAGTGAGGGGGCAGGCAGGCGCTGCAGCCAGCGGCAGGCAGCGGGCAGGGATGCTCGCGAGGTGGGATCCCCGCGCGGCGGCTCTCCGCGGACACCTGTAGGGATCGCTCTGGCACGCACGGCGGCCGCGCACACGCTCGCACACACTCACACTCACACCGCGTCCTTGCCTGGCTCCCCCCACCCTCCTCCCCACCCCTGGTAGACACCGCGGGTTCCTGGCACCCTCGGCGCAACAACGGAGGCGCAAACCCCTTCCCTTCCTTCGCCCCGCTCCTCCCGCAGCCGCGGCGCCCGCCCCGCGCACCTTGCGCCCGCCTCCCCTCCCCGCCGCGCCTCCCGCATTCCCTCCCCACCGCCCCTTCCCCCGGGGGCCAGCCCAGCCCCAGCAGCTGCCCGGTAACCCCCGTGAGCACACACAGACACACAGCCCGCGCCCCTTCCCCACTCACCCCGTCTCCTCAAACCCCCCCTTTCTCCCACGCCCCCCTCACACACAGCCCCCCTCCTCCGTGTCATTGTCCCCGGGCACGCACACCGTGCCGTGTCTCACACCGCCAGCCAGCACCCGGCTCCCCGCACCCCCACACACCCCAAACCCGCTCCATCACCGCCTCTCTCCCCTCCGCCGCAGCGGGGCCCCGCGGCCGCCCTCACGTCCCCTCCCCGCCCTGGAGAGCAGCCCTCACGTTCCCCCCGGGCTCCCCCCGGAGCGCAGCCCCCGGCGGGGCCGCTCCGGCTCGGGCGGGCGCGGGCAGCGGCGCCGCCGCCCCGTCGGGCCGCGCAGGGCGGAGCTGTTCCGGGTGCTGAAGCAGGAGCGGCCGCTCGGCGCCGTGCCGCAAGCCAGCGGCGCCCCAGCTCGCGGCCACCGCCGCGCCCCGGAGGCCCTTTGGGCAGCGGGGTTGCGGGGGCTCCCGCCGCGGGTTCTCCCGGGAGCTGCCGGAAAATCCCTCGGCTGGTGGCGGCGTTGCCAGAGGTGGCTCCTGCCGAGGGGCAGGGAGGGCGTGGGGGAAACCTGGGGTCTGCCTGGTGCTGGTGGGCACGCCTGGCCTCTGCCCGCGAAGTTTGGGGGGGGTTCTCCTCTTCTCCCTTTTGCTGCTCTTGCCCACCTCACGTGTGGCGAATAATAAAAATAATCGTGTTGACATTTAGAGGAATGAAATTAAATATAGAGAGAGTAGGAGGTGACTTAGCAGCTCTGAACGTGTCAGGTGCAGGCAGCTGAGGTGTGTGCCTGTTTTTAAAACATTTCTCCCTGGCAGGGTCATCTCTGCCCCCTCTCCCCACACACGCATGCACACACACACACGCACATACCCCAGCCCAGAAGAGGGCTTGGCAGCAGCTCTGGCCATGCTATTGTGCCTGCCTAAGTGCTGCTGGCAAAGAAATATACGGGAGGGGAAGGGGAAGCGATGAGTGAGGGAGGTGTTGGAGATCCTCTCCTCCATCAGGAGAGGTCTGCTAATACACAGCTTCCAAAAAAGATACAGCAGCTCTGGGGAAGAAACGCAGCCTCTCCACTGAAACATTTTGGATGTAGAGACCTCTTCAGTGGATAAGAGTGAACTGTGGCATATATATAATTTTGAAAACAGAGGAGTTGTTCTCTCCTTGTTCTCTTAAATAAGGGCAGCTGAGTAAATATACATAAAATACTGCAACCAATTTCAGAGGACTAACACCTGGGATTAGCTGATCTGCGTTGTGAATAATGTCAACATCAGAGCTGGCTTGAATTGGATTTTCCCTGCCATAGCAGAAAATATCAGCCTCAGAGGAAACCAGGTAGCAGGAAAAAAAATGTTTTGAAAACCATTAAAAAAAAATTCAAAAAGCTATCTAAGAAACTATTGCAATTCTTCCTCTCCCCAGGAAAAATAAACCAGTAGGTGTAAACCAGTAGGTGTGCCATGCGTGGTGGAGGTTGTCAGTTCCTGCTGGGAGCTCAGGCCACTTTATTTTTTTGACCTGTATTAGAAACAATCAGAACTGGGCTTGGTAGCGTCATCTGTATGACTAGGAGCTTGTAGCTTCACAAGCGATGGTGTTTTCAAAAACAAATTAAAATAAAATATATTGAAGAGTACACACCATCTTTTCTGTTTAACATTGTTCTTGTAATAATAAAATGCACTACCAAAATATTTGAAAGTTTTGGAAAGGTAAGTAGTTTACATTTAGATTATACCATAAAAATGTAATCTAGTATAAACATATATGTTGAGGTTTGTGTTTAGCGCTGCAACCTATTACAATTTCTCGGTAACTTGAAAATTACAGCAGCATTTTCCTAATGTCCAGCACCAGTCAAAATGAAAAAAATAATCACAAACGTTCACTATTGATCAACTTTGTGATTCAACATGTTATTAGTTGTCATTTCTTATTATTCTGTTTCAATTCCTTGCAGATTAGAAACAAAAACAATAGAGGAAAATCACCCCCCTGGATCTTAGCCTTGGCCTTTTTCAAGCAAAGAGAAGAGGAGCTGCCAGGCTTTGCATGTCAAGTGGCCACTCGGCTGTTTGACAGCTTCTGGGTTTCAACCCCGTTGGGATTGAGGCAGCTCAAGCAACCAGGAGCGATGAGTCCTGTCGTCTGCTGACGCTGCTCCAGCACCATGGCAGACAGGCTGTGATATGACAAGAGGATCCATCCTAGGGAGGCAGCGTTGGGATCCATAATTGGCTTCCTGGGAAACTACAGCTGGTGGAGAGGATGTAAAAAGAGGCGCGCATGTGCCAGGATATTGCTACAGCCTTGCCGAGCTGGTGGATCCACTTGGAGGAGAGTTTTGCCACTGATCTTGGATTTTTTCCCAGTTTGGTAATGTTGGCTTTGGGGAAAATTTCTGCTGACTCACCCACCCCAGGACACCTTTTGCAGAGCGTGGCCGGCCAGTGAAGAGATCCAACGGCGCCTTACCCCCACTGCGCGTCCCCCCCGGTGGCCTCTGGCACCATCCTGCGCCCAACCCCATCTCGTGGGGCAGCTGCAGCCCCCCGCCCCGGGGAGTCTCCCACAGTGACCCCCGCACCCGGGGCGGGGGTGAGCGTGCCCAAAGCTTCCAGCGCGGCCGGCGCCCGGCAAGATTTTACCCTGTCTGCCGCCGGGGCCCCGGTGCCGCCCCCCGCCAGCCCTGCCGCCCCGCTCACCCGCCCCAGGCCGCACAGGATGGGGGCGGTGCTGGTGCGGCGCGGGGGCTGCCTGCTGCTCTGGCTGGCCCTACTGCTGGGCTGCTGGGCTGAGCTGGGCAGCGGGCTGGAGTTCCCGGGTGCGGAGGGCCAGTGGACCCGCTTCCCCAAGTGGAACGCCTGCTGCGAGAGCGAAATGAGCTTCAACATGAAGACGCGTAGCTCCAGCGGGCTGGTGCTCTACTTTGATGACGAGGGTTTCTGTGACTTCCTGGAGCTCATCCTCACCCAGGGAGGCCGGCTACAGCTCAGCTTCTCCATCTTCTGCGCCGAGCCTGCCACCTTGCTCTCGGACACGGCGGTCAACGACAACCTCTGGCACGCTGTTGTCATCCGCCGCCACTTCAAGAACACGACGCTGATCATTGACCGAACCGAGGCCAAGTGGGTGGAGGTGAAGTCCAAACGGCGGGACATGACTGTCTTCAGCGGGCTCTTCCTAGGAGGGCTCCCGCCGGAGCTGCGGTCGGCGACACTAAAGCTGACGCTCTCCTCCGTCAAGGACCGGGAGCCCTTCAAGGGCTGGATAACAGATGTGCGGGTGAACTACACGCAGGCGTCGCCGGTGGAGAGCCAGGAGGTGCGGCTGGATGACGAGCAGAGCCGGCTGTGCGCCAGGGACGACGTCTGCCTCAACGGGGGCGTCTGCTCGGTGCTCAACGACCAGGCCGTCTGCGACTGCTCCCAAACGGGCTTCCGAGGGAAGGACTGCAGTGAAGGTAAGGGGCCATTTCAGCTCGCCCCATCGCCCCCTCCCCATCGCTCTATGGAGGGGACGGGTTGGAGGCCAGGCCTGCATGAAGTTTCATCTGTATGAGTGGATCTTCCTCCCTCCCCTCTCTTCCCACCATGTCCCCGGCTCCCCTCTTCCCCACCTTCTCCTCCATGTCTTCCACATGTCTCTGTGGCCAACCATGGTGCCATCACTCTTCTGTTCTCTGTGAGGCTGGGTGAGAGGAGGAAGAGGATGTTATCTGAGCATCTTCCTGGGATTTCGGGTTGTTCTGGGTAGAGGAGAGATGGGTATTGGGTACCAGGTGTCACCCAGATGGCAGGGGTGGCTGGAACTGCGCTCGGTGGGAGCTGAGGGAGGGGACATGCATGCTTATCACAAGCAGCTGGTGATAATTAATTTGGGGAGCAGGGAAATTGATGCTGGGAATAATTTACCTGGATTAAGTGCAAAGGTGACCTGGGTTTGGTTTTGTAGGGTAGAGGAGACCCAGAGTCCACTTTGTATTTGCCTCTGCTATGTCATTGAAATAAAATCAGTGATTTATTTGTGAATTCCTTAAATTGTGGCCAGGGAGGAAAGGGATTAAACAGAGGATTATGTTTTTACATGAATGTGAAGGGTACTGCTTTGCAACATATTTAGCAATTCACCATGCCAGTTAGACAGGGAGAACACAGAAGGGCAAGGGGGAAGTACATACTCCAAGACCACAAAATGACCAAGTAGTTTTACCAAGGATGAGGAAACGTAGAAAAACAGCAGTTTCCTTAATCTCATCTACAAATAAATCACTGGGTAAAATATTATTCATATTCAGTGCCCATTGTTTTTGGCAAATGGAAAGAATGTGAACGTTTACTTTGCAGATGCATGCAGGACTCTTGTTTTTATTATTTTGTTAGTAAATGTACCATTGCTTGCAGCTCCTTAGGCATAGGAATTATGTATGTTGTGTACCTAGAGGAGGATGTGAAGGTGTATAAATGAAATAAGAGTAAATGTATCAAGGGAAAATATGGTTATCATGTCAAAATTGGAGAGCAAAGACCTAAGTTTAAAATGTAAAAGGTAAATATGAATAAGATATCATCAAGGCCAAATTAAGATCTTCACTGAGTGGCTGCATGACATTTATGGCTGAATAATTTGCCTTTAGCATTTCTATCAGATTTCACTCATTATAAGAAAGAAAACATCATTTGTGACTGTGCTTTATTATGTAACACCTTCTGTCCTTAGTGTCAATACTCAAAACACTACAGTCATTCTGCATCCTGTTTACTTTATCAGCTGTTTATCTCTCATCTGCCATTCGTGAAAAATTCAAATCCAATTAACACTTTAAATAATTTTTTATAGGAGCAAATAATAGTTTTTGAAAACTAGTCATTTGTACTTTAAATTGCACCCATTCCTAGAAACTGTAAAATGAAATATCTTTTATATTAGGTAAACCCTCTAAATTGATATAGTATTTGGGTATCAATTTTTAATATATGATGCTACATAATATACAGGTATATGTACAATATTGAATTGTCTTAGCATCTCTGAGTTAGGTCGTATTATAAAGAAAAAGAAAATTACGAGGTGCAGCAGTTTTGTTAAAGCAATAATGGTAATTTAAATACTATTAATACTATCATACATTTATATATCCTTTACACTAAAACATAGTTTATTTATTTGAAGTTATTTTGCACATATAATACTTATGTGCTAGAGTTCACGTGATTGTTTGTAGTATCAGTCAGATAAATTGTTGCCTTTACATAATAACAGGTTGAGTGGCTATTTTTAAGAAACATTTTTACGTTTAGATAAAATTTTAGAGAAATACATGTCCATATTTATATTTACTGAAAATTGCATGGAACTTTTAAGAAGATGATGCTCAAAATAACATTTAGAATCCCCTCCAAATTAAGGTAAAATGCTGACTTAATTTCAGTGCTAGTGGTTTTACATCGGTGTTGACATCAATGGGAACAAGAGTCTCCTCACAAGTCCCTTGACTACTGAGAAGCCTTATAAAATAATAGCAAGACTTATAATTTTAGCAGAAAGTATTCACATTCTGATTTTATTTGAAACAGGAGGCAACATTTGCCCTGACAGCAACATAACTGGAACTACATTGCAATTTATACCTGTTAATTGAGAAAATGTAGCAACTGACACTTCCATCAGTCAAGTTTTGATGAAGGGATTCGAAGTTACTCGTATATGCCAGCAAAGATATTGAACTGTTATAAATTATTTAATATTCTAAGAAACAGAAAAGGCAGAAGGACAAGTAAAGCCTTTATATCTGCCAAGAAAGAAACCTTGGCTTCTGTTCTTTAGTTTTTTGTAGCCAACACAGACATTAAGCCATTGAACTTTGATCTTTTGTTCCCAGAATGTGTAAATTTCCCACAAGCCTTAGAAAGACATTGCTATTGCTAGAGGATCATCTCAGGCTGCAATTATCTGAAGGGGTCTTTTGAGTTTTCACTCCTACCCTTGTTTTGGTTTTTGTTTAAAAATGGTTTTAGACAGGAAAACCCCCAAACTTTCCATTTTTATCTGAAATTGTAGCCATGTGTCCTAGTTGATACCTTTTCTTTAAAGATGAAACATGGTAATTAAATTCTATTTTCCTTGGATTTTTTAATACAAATAAGTTTTTTTGTCTTGGATTTGTTGTTTTTCTATATGTCTGCAGTCTGGTAAAATAGAGTTCCTTGGTGTAATGAGGAATGTAATAATTAATACCAACAACAACAAATAAAATATTTTCAAAATTTTCTACCCTGACTTGCACATTTAGGAATTAAAATGTAATAGATTTAGAATCAATGTTTCAAGTCTTAAGATGCCATCTTTAATACAAGTTCAGTTATTCTCAGGAGAAAATCTGATGGCTTTTTTTCCCAGATTTTCATCTTTGAAAAGCTTATTAGTGATCCCTGAAGTAATTTTTTTCTCTTGTAAAAATGAAGTTCAACCAAGTTTTGAGTTGGGATTTTTTGTTCTGTTGTGGGGTTTTTGGTTTTTTGTTGGGTTTTTTTGTTTTTTTGTTTTTTTTTTTTTAATCCCATCATAATATAAATAATTTCCAGTAGTCTTAACTGGTTTTCTATCTTTCTAAATCAGGAGTAGCTTCATTTATGTTTTATGAACTACACCACTGTTAGAACAGTGCAAGCTAGGAAGGAACCATTCAGTCATTCCTTTTGTTCCAGTAGGATCTAAGTTCTCTTCAATGGGACCATTGGCATAAATCAGAGAAAAGGACTGGAATTTTGCTTTAGTGTCAAGGATGTGCAGTCCATAGCAAAGAAAAATATGATCTCTAGCATTTCTCTGATTGATAGACCCATGAATAAAAACAGTACAAGAGCCTTCTAAAAGATAAAATCTCTGCTTTGTACTGAAAAAGGCAAGGGAATATTAATCCATGTAATAATAGTGATTCAGTAGAAGGAAAAATACAAAAAAATTATAATGAATTTTGTTAGGAATAAGAGTAGCATTGAAATAGACCCTGACTGCCATATCAGTTTTCTGCTAAGTTTTTGACATATATTTCAATCTTCTATTAGGTGAAAATTACAATATTTCCTGAAATTACTCAAGTTGTTATGGCTTGATTCTATGATAGGGAGAGATTTTTATTAGAATTGTCAACTTTAAAGTCAGATTTTTAGTGAATTAAGTCAAGGTCCTAGAAGGTAAGAATACATTATTCATATCAGTGAACCTCCATATTTTTCTTGTAATTTTTCTCCTTAAAATGAAAATGTCAAAAGAAAAAAATCACCTCTATTATTAAATGACTAAAATAGTGACCTTCTAACTTTAGACCAAAAAAATTCCATTCATACTCATTTATATAAAGTTAAATTTATATAAAAATAGCTTTGTCCAACATCCTGTCTGAGAAAATAAGCAGGTAGTTCTAAAAGAGGTAGTAAAATACACATGATGCATTGAGTTGGAGAAAGTTTCTCACTGATGCTAACTTCTTGTCACTCCATGCCTTTCTGCTTTTCTATATCTCTAGTGGCTTTAAATAGTTGCAGACAGGATCCTTTATCTTTTTAAAATATAGCTTCCCTACTTACCTCAATATTAGCATCTATTCAGGCAATTGCTCTGTGAATTCAAACTATTGCTGTTTATAACATGTATTTTAGCTGTTCCACTGAGTTTCTGGTTTGTGAGAAAAATGAGGGCTGTTCAGGCAGCTGTTCACTGTAAGAGATACTCTTCCTTGTCAGATATTCAGAAGTTGATGCCAGCTACGGTTTGAACTGTGAAAGTGATTTTTGAGGAAGTCAGTTCCAGATGTCTCAGCCCAGCCAGCATTTAGATTTGTTTGTTTGGGTTCTGAATATACTGCATCAGTCTTTGTTGTATTTCCTTTTGCATGCTAACTTTTTTAAAAGGCATCCAATATTTATATATCTTTGAAATTTTTGATATGTCAATCCATTTTGTTCTCCTTATGCCTTGAATGAAGCATTTGAACTTCTTTTGGTGTTAATTATCTGTTGCAAGTTGCATGTTTGAGTGAGATCTTGTTGAACTCATTGCCAATACTCAGTCTTAACAGAGTAGTCACCATGGTCTTTATCCCTCTTGAGTCTTAGCTAAATGTACTTTGGACTATTAAATACTGTGAACAAAACTTGCCTTTTTGATTTACACTTCAGAATCTTTATCTACATGATCTGTATTTCTTCTTCATGCTGAATTTCTTGGCAGTGGCAGTGGCCACTGGGGTGGTGTTGGTTTAGAAGGAGGGCTAGAAATGCACGAGATTGAACTGAGGTTCTATATATGCACAAATCATGTAAATAATTTAACAATCATTATTTCACTTTATTTAATATTTTTGAATGGTGACTTCTTTGTCACAGTAGAATCTTGAGAGCAGATAGCCAAGTAATCAAAAAGTCATTCAGAACTGTTACATCTGTTACATTGACTTTTAGT